AGGGCTTGCCAGAGACGGACGCGCCTCCGGCTGCAACCGGGCTAAACTCTACAGTCTGAGCCCAACCCCCTCCGCCCCGCAGCGCCTCGCATAATGTCCCAGCAGTCCCATAGAGAGGAGGAGCCACTGGCTGCGCCTGCGCACCGCCATCCACGGGCACACGCCTTCCCAAAGTTCCAGCTTCCAAGAAATGTGTCCGGTGTGCCACGCCGTCCGTTTCCAGGGCAATTAGGGCTCCCTAGTAGATGCGCGCGCAACCTGGATGGTTTACCCCGCGCGCCCCCTACCATGGCGGCCGCGGGCCCCAGCGTCTTTCTACTCATGGTCAACGGGCAGGTGGAGAGCGCCCAGGTGAGCGGCCAAGGTTCCTGCCCGGGCACCACAGGCTCCCCCCGGGGAACAGTCCCGCAACTTCACGGGCTTCTTTTTGGCCCCAAAGAGGCGTGTCATTCCTCAGGCTGGGTAGGGGAACCAGCACATGAGAAGCTTGACTCAACATTGCTAGAAATCTTTAACCCCGATGTGCGCGTGTAGAAACACATCGAAAGGCTGTCATAGTACCGAGGCCACACTCGGCTAAGTTGTGGCCCCCGGCTCGGATCGTGCGCACTTTACTGAGGAGCCTAACGCGGCCCGAGCTCGTGGTGTCCGAGGCGTCTGCGCCGCTCGCGTGCGCACTGATTGCCTCACACTCCGAACTTTCAGATCCTGAACTTGAGTTAGATTGGAAATTATGCGGTTAATCTTATCCAACGATGGTAGTGTCCTGGAATGATCCAGGGAGGATGTGCCTGTCAGATGCGAGGGTACGCCACTCTACCTACACCCCTACACTTTATAAGAACTATTTGTTTATTTAATATATATATATTTTTAAGTGTCAGCAAGTATTCACTGTGTGCCAAACGCGGTGCTCAGCACTGCTCGTTCAATCTTCACAACAACCCTGTGAAGTATTACTAGCATGCCCATTTTACAAATGGGAAAACTTGCCCAGAGAAAGTGGCAAACTGGGATTTGAAGCCAGGTCTTTGTAACGCCAGAGCTTCACTGCACTGCCCTTTCAGGTTGTGTGAGGGGCTCCCTCATACAACCTGAGGGTCTCCGCCTCTGGGTTCTGAATGAGTACCCAGGTGGGGCCAAGCAGCTCCCGAGTGTGAGGTCAGGGGGATACTCACTTTAGAGCTTTTGGGACCCTCATCTCGGAAAAGTTTATTAAACTTGGGCTGGGTCATATGTGTGCACTCTAAGCACTCATCCCACTCCCATCTGCCTGCCCCTCTGCTCTGGGCCCCTCCCACTCTTCAGGCCTTCAGCTGCAGCTGTGCACTGGGTCCTGGCAGCACCATGGGCTCTCAGACCTTCAGTTCCACACCATTTCCTTAGATCTTCTCTGTGTCCACCCCTGTATCAGGTACCGGGGCACAGACAGGCATCATGCCTGTTCCTTGCTCATAGTCTAATGGCGTTATTAACAAGAGTGAACACAGGCAAATGCTTTGATAGAAGGAAGCACCAGGGACTGAAGGAGCCAGAAGAGGGCCCTCAAGACAGCTTGGAAGTTAGGGCAGCCCCCATGAAGGGTAGGTTTTGGAGGATGGGCAGGAGTTTGCTAGATGAAGGAATGGGAAGGGCATGTCCGACAGAAGATGAGCCTGTGCAAAGGCCTGGGGACAGCAGCAGCTCCGGACTATCCCTTGGACTCCTACTGCTTGAGCCCCAGCACTGAACTCCACTTTCACATCTGTGGCTGTTGCTCACATCCCAGCCCAGGCATCTCGCGTTCAGAATCACTACTGGTTGTACCTGCCTAGCCAACACGTTGGCCTCAGCATGAGTTCCTGTAACAGAAGCTGTGTGTGCTTGTTTCCACAGTTCCCTGAGCACGATGATCTCTACTGCAAGTACTGCTTTGTGTATGGTCATGACTGGGCCCCCACTGCGGTAAGCTGGCCTCCCTCACAGCTTTCCTGACTTGGAGTTTCTGAAGGTGCTGAACACACCCCTTCCCCTCCCAGTTCAGAAACATTTGAAAGGTAGATACCGAGTTGAGGAGACCCAAATGAGTTTGTTCTCAGTGAAGCTGGAGTGGAGAACACAAACACCACTGAGCTCAATGCTGTATCCCCTCTGGCTGGGCTGGCTCACATGCCCTATCCTGGGAGCTTGCACGTGGTGGCAAACAAATGTATGGGCAGTGCATCTGCACACAGGCCCCAGAATGCCAACCTGGACGTGGCCGAGCTGTAGACACTCTGGGCCAGTCTGCTGGCTGACCTCCTCAGCCTGTGGGGAGGACTCAGGAACTCTCCTTTCAAGACTTCCCAAGGAACAGTCCCTTTGCTCCAGGACAGCTTCAGCCTGGACTACACCGTACTGTTTGCAGAGCTCTTATTTAATCCTCACAGCAGGGGAGGACACGGAGGCCCAACTTATTTAACCTCCTGAGTTTGTTTCCTCATCTGTACAACTGAGATGACAATACTTATTTTCCATCTACCCATTAACTGAATAACTGCTTATTCAGAGTATTCTGGGTGCTGGTGATAAACAGTGGTGAGCAAGGCCAGAGAGAAGTCCCTGTCTCGCTGGAGTGTACATTCTTGTTGGGAGTCATGCAGTTAAGTAGTGAACATTCTAGTATGTTAGCCAGGAGTCAGGGCTGCAGAGAAAATAAAGTTAGGAAGTAGAGATGGGACAGATAAGAGAGACTGGAATCTAGATATGGTGGTCAGGGAAGGCCTTGCTGGGAAGATGATGAGTAAAGACCTGAAGGAAGGGAGGGCACAGTCCATGTGGAACCTGTGGCAAGAATGTGTTGGGCAGAAGGAACAGAGAGTGTGAGGCCCTGAGGCAGGAGTGAGCCTGGCATGTCTGAGGACTTTTGAGAAAGGCCAGTGTGGCCGGTGAACAAAACGAGCAAGAAGAGTGGTTGGGGATGAAATATGAAGGTCACAGGCAGATCTTAGAGGGTGTGGTAGGTCAGAATAAGGACCAAGACCTTTACATGGGTTGGGATGGTACTCAAAGAGTTTTGAGCAGAGAGAAAGGTAATCTGACTTGTGTTTTTGAAGGATCTCTTTGGCTTCTTAGTTCAGAGTAGACCGTGGGGGAGCAAGGGCCAAAGCAGGGAGACCATCGATTATAAACAGGTGGGAGAAGATGGCATTGTGGACAAGGGGAAGTAGTGGGGGGAGGTGGTTGGGTTTTGAAGATGGAGCCAACAGGGGACGTGAGAAAGACGGGTTAAGAATAATGCCAGGCTTTTCAGTCTAAGCATTTAGAAGTAGAGTTCAGCAAGAAGACTGTGGATAGAGCAGATTTGGGAGAACTTGGCAGTGGAGCCGGGGCAAGGACCAGGCTGGAGATGATGAACTTAGGAATCGTAAACACACAGACCACACTGAAGGCCCGGAAACTGAGGAGATCCCAAGTGCAGAGAGAGAAGCATCCAAATGCTGAGCCTCAAGACGCTTCTGCTCAAAGGAGGATGCATAAGACCTATAGAGCAGGGGCCTCTGGGGGAAGGAAAGACCCAAAGACATGAGGCACCCCAGAAACCAGGTGGAAGAAGGATGTCAGGCAGTGACTAGCTGTATCAGATGCTGCTAGTGGGCCAAATAAAATGAGAACAGAAGTAACCGTAGATGCCAAGGTCACTGGTATCATTTACAAAAACACTTTGGTAGATTGGAGGCCAGTGGTCAGACTAGAGTGGGTTCATGAAAGAAAAAGGAATTGGAGCCAGTGAGTGTCGACAACTCTTGCAAGAAGCCTGGCTCTAAAGGCGGGCAAGCACGGGCTGGTGGGTGGAGGAAGAGGTAGGGTCAGCGAGTGTTACCTTGTGATGGGGAAGATGACGTGCACACGCACGCTGATGGGAAGGGTCTGGGTGAAGCTGGGGCTGTAGAAGAGGAACAACCTGCTGGGGCCACTCCTTTAGGAAGGCAAGCAGGGTGAGTTCTCGCACCCAGGCAGAGGTGACCTCTTAAAGGTAACATTAAAACACCTAGGAGCTGATCCTGTACCTCCCAGTGCTCTTTGAAAGTCAGTGTTTTGTCAGAAGGTAGTGAAAAAAACAGCCCTCCCACCCACCTGCCCAGGAAAGGGGAATGTGTGACTATCTGGAGTTGGATGCTAGCTATCAGTGTCATTGTCCTCACAGGGTCTGGAGGAGGGGATCTCCCAGATCACATCTAAGAGCCATGATGTGCGACACTCACTGGTGTGGAACTTCCCCATTGACGTCACCTTTAAAAGCACCAACCCCTTTGGCTGTGAGTCTTTTGGGGCCCTGCAGGAACCAGGGGGAGGCACCCCAGGGCAGTCTCAGCTTCATCCCTCTTATCGCCATCAGATCTTGGTTGCCCATCCCCTAGGCCCTTGCCCCAGCCTTGTAATGTGCTCACACCACCTGGCCATTTCCCTCCGTGTCTTCCTCCTGCCATCCTAGTTCACTGCCAGGCTAGGCAGTGGACAGTTTGGAAGTTCAGAGTGCATCAGGTGAGGCCCTGCCTGAAGCCTTGGATGGTTCTGTGCCTGGGAAGGGCAGAGCCTGGTGTCTAGAGCTGCAGTGACCTGGAGAGCTGACCGTGAGGTCTCAGCTCTCCATCATGTGATGTGCTCCAGCAAAACCAAGCCACCTGCTCCTCCTGTGCAAGTCCCTCACATCCCCTCTTCTGAGCTGTGGTTCATGCCATTCCCCCAGCCCAGGATGTTTTCCCACATCCTACCTCTGACCTTCCCTAAGGCTTCCTTGCTTGCAATATTTACTTTCTATCTTGTCTGGTAGCTATTTTTCACTTTTACTCAAGCACCTACTGTGTGCAAATCCTGGGGTTAGCTCTGTAGGGGCTATGAGTGCTCTTCCTGTGTGGGCTTGTCTAGCTTCCCTGATCCTACCTGGCAGGTAGGTTACTCTCCATTTCTTTTCCTGTGTTAGGAAACACTCAAAAAGATGCCACTTGCCTTCAGCTTTACACGTAGTAGGTGAGCATGGATTTGATTTCAGGATCATTTGATTTCATACTCCAGGCCTTTCTGCTGCATGTGACCAGGCCCAGGCTTACCAGGTACAGAGGGCCTGGAGCAGGGGCAATCTGGTGGTTCTCCTGGGCAGGGCTCACTGTCCTGTCACTCTGCACAAGTAAGACACTCCACAGGCTTCCTGGGATGGGGCACTTATAACGACCAACTTCTTCTTGCGGAGGACAGCTAGGAGAAGCAAATAAAACATTAAAAGGCAAAAACAAAAAACCCAGCCACTTGAAGGCATCCGATAGCTAGCAAAGTAGTGATTTACCAGGCCAGCCTCTACGAGAAAACCAGTCCAACAGAGACAACTAAGAGGAAGCTTGAGACTTTTGATGGCCTCTCTGGGTGCAGGGCACAGGACTCAGTGCTCAGAACTCCAGCAGGGGCTGGGTGGAGGGCCTCAGGGAAGTCCTTCCGACATGGGCTGGGACCTCAGAGAGCTGTGCCCTATGATGAGGAAGAAGTAGATGGCGGCAGACCACTCTACAGAGACTGCAGCCTAGCTCCTGACAATTCCAGACTCTGAACATGGTTGCAAAACTCCAGACAAAATGCAAACTGCATGTAGCAGGGTACAAAAGATGATAATGAGCAAGTAGTGTTTATTTTAGAAATACAAAGCTTGGATAACATCTAAAATCAGTGTGATTTACCGCATTACAAAGAAGTCATGATGGTCCCCATAAATGAAGAAAATGTGATAAAACTCAGCATCCATTCATGATAAACACTTAACAAACTAGGACTAGAGGGGAACTTCCTTAATCTGATAAAGGCCAGCTACAAAAAACAGAGCAAACATCACTTTTTTAGTGAACTGTCGAAAGATTTCCCCTCTGAGATCAGGATGACCACTATCACCAATATTATACAGATAAAAGGTATAAAAATTAGAAAGGAATAAAACTCATTCACAGGTGTGATTATGTGGAATTTACAAAACAAGCTTCAAATAAACTATTAGAATTAATACATTGGCATGAATGCCATTTGTAAGGTTAACATACAAGAATCAGTTGCTTTTCTATAAGAATAAATAGAATATTTTGTATAAAAAATAGAAAATATTTCAAAAATAAAATACTTATAGTATATCACTCTACCAGATACCAAGCTCTAATCATAAAGCTCAATGACTGAGTATCGTTTTGGCACAAGGATAGACAAGCTGACCCGTAGAGCACCCCATGCCTGCACCTGTGTAGGTGATTTGTGACGAAGGGGCACTGCTGAGCAGCAGGAGAGTTTTATTTTTCTTTGTGTGTATCTGGGAGTCTTTTAATCCTCTTTTATTTTTAGAGGGGAAGGGAGGGAGAAAGCGATGGAGAGAAACATCACTGTGTGGTTGTCTCTTGTGTGCCCCCTACTGGGGACCTGGCCCACAACCCAGGCATGTGCCCTGACTGGGAATCAAACCAGCCACCCTTTGATTCGCAGGCCAGCACTCAATCCACTGAGCCACACCAGCCAGGGCTTGAAAGTCTTTTTAATAAATGGTGCTGGGACAATCAGATGCCCACAGGGGAGAAATGAAACCTGATCTGTACTTCACAGTACACATCCACAGGAGTCAGTCCCCATGGGCATATAAAGGTGAATGTGAAAAGCAAAGTTAGCCTCAGGAATATAGCCTGGGACACAAAAGCCACAATGTCAGGGTAGGGAAAACTTTAAAGAACATCCATAGATTTGACTGTTAGAGTTAAGGGCTTCTGTTCATGGAGAGACATTAAGAGTGAAAAGACAAGCAACAGAATTCACACACATTATGAATCCACAAGAGAGAAAGGGGCAAGAGACTTGAGCAAGCACTTCCGAGTGACTGAGAAACAGGACAAAGTCTCTGTTTTTAGTAAGAACAATTACAATCAAGGAAAATGAAAATTAAAGCTAAAGCGACTCGAACAGCTCAAATTATATGAGCACAGCAAGCTCTGGCAAGGATGCAGAGGAGTGGGGCGTTCGTTAGCCTTTAAGACTGAATGTAGCCCTGGCTGGCGTAGCTCAGTGGATTGAGCACAGACTGGGAACCAAAGTGTCCCAGGTTCGATTCCCAGCAGGGTACATGCCTGGGTTGCAGGCCATAACCCCCAGCAACCGCACATTGATGTTTCTTTCTCTCTCTGTCTATCTCCCTCCCTTCCCCTCTAAAAATAAACAAACAAAATCTTTTAAAAAAAAACAAGACTGAATGTATGCAAACCCTGGTGCTTCCTTGGGTACATGCCTAACAGAAACGTGTGCACATGTGTGACCAGAGCTTGTACAAGAGGAGCAGAGTGTCCCTGGCCTCAGCATCTGTGAGAGCCCCGGAGGAGGAACAGCTCACGTGTGTGTCAGCATGGACGGGCCAAGTCCTGCGGTCTGTCCAGAGGATGGGTGTGGTCCAGCACCGAGAACAAGCCAAGCTCTGTGTGTGAAACAGCTTGAATGAGTCTCACAAATATGTAGAATTAAAGAAGTTAGATACAAAAATATACTGCATGATTTCATTTATATAAAGTCTAAATACATGGGTCGAACCCAAGCACCCACTTGTTTGGGCTGCATTCTTTGTCGGTGAAATTTTAGGTGGCTTCATAAAATTCAGAATAGCAGTTACCTTGGGGGGAACTACAGGAAGTGTGGAGACCATCCCTGACACCTACTGAACTCCGATTTTCTCTTTCCGGTGTCCTAGAGAGGAGGGGGCAGGAGGGAGGGAGTTGCCTAAGGCTAGTGCCTGGCCTGTCACCTGGAGCAATGATCTTTCCCCTGTATCCGGGTGTTACCTCCAGATGGAGGTGAAAGGACCTGAAATGCCTTTCTGGGAACAGACATAATTGTTAATATTTTAAAGGAGAGTGCATGGAGAGCCTTTGCTCTCTCTCTGAGCTTTCCCACAGATAACCCCAAACCAGCCCCTCACCCAGGTGTCACGTGCTTAAATCTGACTGCTTCCATCAGAAAGGAAGCTCCCAAGAGCAGGCGCTCAGCACAGCTTAGTACTAGTCCCGTGCCTTGAATGGGGCCTCTGGAGACACTTCTGTGTTTGTCTAATGACAGAATCAGGGCAGCATCCTGGCTCTGTGACCCCACAGGGCATCCGGGCCAAGCCAGAGGCCTGGCTGGCAGGTTCTGGTTCCCCCTTGCCCCACCCCCCACCCCCCTGGGTCCTGAGTTGGCAGAAGCCCTTGGTGCTAAAGGGGTCCTCTGTCTCCCCAGCTCTGGCAAGCCCCTGCCCCGAGGGCTGTGAGCACCCTCCTCCTCCTGTGCCCTACACCTTCCCTGGGTTTCCACACGCTGAGCCCCACCTTGTCCTTCTCCAGGGCCACAGATTGTGCTCAGTGTGTACGGACCGGACGTGTTCGGGAATGACGTGGTCCGAGGCTACGGGGCAGTGCACGTGCCTTTCTCCCCTGGCAGGTAGGTCCTCCCTGCCATGCTCTCTGGCCCACTCTCCCAGCCACAGCCCGCCCCTCACTGGGCCATGCTGGCTCAGGGACCTGGGAATCCCCAGCAGGGCTTTTCCTGGGACAGACTTCACCTCTAGGCCGGGGATGTGCTAGGTGCTCCAGGAGCCTAGCATATGCCCCACTGGTAAGGGCACGGCTCGTATGTGGAAGGGTACCCAAGTGGGTGAGGTTCCTGCTGCCATCCAAGCACAACGGGCCAGGAGGGGGTGCCAGAGGCCCCAGTGGGGCATATTGGGCCATCCTGGGAGTCCCAGGCAGTCAAGACCCAGGGTTCAGACACCCATTCCTTTGTCTCTTCCCCCCTTCCATGTCCCACAAGCCCTGACCAGTGCCCCCTGTACCCAGCTGTTGGCGTCAGAGGACCAGGTGTGCCCGCCATGTGTGTCCATGGGGGCTCTGCCCTCAGGAGCCCCCAGAGTCACACGCTTAGGGGCAAAGACCCAGCTCTCCCAATCATAGTTAACAGGGTATAGATGGAGTGTTCTGGGGCCCAGAGGAGGGCCAAGGCCAACCAGCTTTAAAGGACAGGCGTTCATCCAGAGAAGTCAGGGGGAGGAAGAAGAGCAGCTGTGGACTGCGTATCTGCCCTGAGTGTCACTGTTAGAGCCAAAGGTGCGGGATGCCCGGGAGAGAGAGTCCCAGAGGAGAAGGACAGGACCCCAGGCTCTGAGGAGGCTGGACTAGGCAGGCGGCCCCAGTCGGGGGAGGCCCAGGGCTTTGTCAGAGGCTTCCTGGAGGAAGGGCATCCGAGTTGGGCCTCGAAGTTGGCAGAGCATTAGGACATTGGGAAGAGGACGAGGTCTTTCTGAGGGACACTGTGGGGGCTGGGACCTTAGCTTTGAGGTATGTGACCTTTGACATCCTTTTGACCCCTGGAAAGAAACTAAATCCTAGACTGAGCTCTTCAAGGTTGGGCCCTGTCCACTGTGTCTGCAGAGCCCAGGCACATGGGCGTGGTCAGAGGGCTGGCCTAGTTGGCCTCGGCCCCGGCACAGAGAGTTCCACCGCCTGTTACTCAGCACATCCATCTGCAAAAACATTCGTTTCAGGCACAAAAGGACCATCCCCATGTTTGTCCCAGAGTCTACATCCACACTGCAAAAGTTTACAAGGTGAGGCTTCTGCCCGTCACCCCAACCCTGCCTTCTGACCTAGGTAGTCGGAGTGGAGAGAGGGAGGTCACATCCACCCTTCACTCTGCCAGTGACCCTATCAGGTATTCAAGCTGCTGCCACTTTGGGGGACAAATGGAAATGAGTTCTGTGGAGTTACTGAGGGTCACTGGCCTGGGCAGTTGTACTCTGTGCCATTCAGTCTTTGTGTCAGGATGGAAGAAAAACTCTTGTCAGAGTAGAATGTGCTCACAACATCACATGGCATTGAAATGGCAAGACATAAGAGGGTACAGCACCGGGAACAGCAGCAATGATCACAATAGGGGCTTCTGTTGGTCAGGTGGTGAGTGTCTTCACACCTGAGAGCCTCCGTGAGGGTAAATCCAAGCAGAGACTAAGCTGAGGAGCCAGCTGGGAGCCTTGGAAGAGCATCCCAGGCACAGGGAACAGCCTGTGAGAGGCCCTCAGGAGAGCGTGAATTTAGCCTATTAGGAGCGGCTGGGGGTGGGTGTGGCTCGGATGTGGTGAGCAAGGGGGAAGGGGGGCCAGGTAGACAGAGCCTCAGGCCTTTTGCCTCTCACCACATGCAAGTAGCAGAGGGAGGGCCAGCCAGGCTCTGGCTGACTGATCCAGGGCTACAAGCCACTGCTGCTCTCCCGAAGGTCAGCCAGAAACGGCTAGACAAGGGGAGAGAGAGGGGCCTGGGTTCCAGGGCGGAGCTGACAGAGCCCCTGCAGGCCTGGCCAGTATCGGGGAGAGACCTGGGCAGGTGGCAGCACTGGGCCTGAACTGAGGAAGCCTCCCGAGTTGTGAGGACTGGGAGAGGACAATCTGGATGCCTGCTGCCCCTAGAAGCCCCTCTGAGAGGCCACCCTAATGGGAAGGGGCCTATTAGCCAGATGCCCTGGGCCAGCGTAAACTGGAGGTGACAGCCTCCATCCCACGGGGCTGCTGGGGGAGCAGGGGTGGTGCCCATCCAGCAGGGTGGGGGTTAGGCCTTTGGGAGTCCCCTCGGCCACCCTGGCCCGGGTGCTGGTGCTGCTGCGCGCCATTCAGCTCGGAGGGAAGGCTTTTGGGCTTCTCCCGAGGAAAGGACTCTCTTGCTGAGGAGGTCAGACCTCACAGCCTACAAAGCGATCCAGGTTTTTGCCAGTGCCTCAGGGCAGCTCTCATCTGGGCTAGGCCGAATGTGCTTGGGTTACAGACACCGGGGAGAGGTCTGGTGAGTGAAGGCAGTTTGGTGACAAAATCTTCCTGGACAAAGGGTCCCTGGAAGCCACAGGGTAGCTAGCTCCAGCTGCCCCATCTGCTCAGGGTACAGTCTCTGCCCCTCCCCGTCCCAGGCTCTCTGCAGCGCCACTTTCTCTGTTGTCCCACTGCCTCCCCAGGAGCCCTTCCTCTGCGCAGGGTCAGTTTGCCATGGCTGTGGCCGCTGTAACAACCAGCCACACACTTGAAGGCTTAAAACAACAAAGTGATTTTCTCCCAGTTCTGAAAGCCAAAGTGCAAAGTCAACACTGCTGGGCTGTAACCAAGGTGTGCAGGGCCGTACACCCCACCTTCCGGACTCCAGGGGAGCATCCCCCCAGCCTCTGGTGTCCGAGGCCTTCCCAGGCTCGTGGCCACATCACTGCCTGTCTGCCTCTGTGGTCACCGGACACCTGCCTCTCCTACGGACATTTCTGGTGGCATTTAAGGTGCACCTGGATGACCCAGGGTAATCTTCCCGGGATAAGAGCCTTGCCTAAATCACATGTGCAAAGACCTTTTTTTTCCAAGTAAGGTCACATTCGTAGGTTCTGGGAACTGGGACCTGGCATCTTTGGGGCCATTATTCAGCCTATGACAGTACCTCCAATCTAGTCTTCACACAGCAACAAGAAAGGTTTTCCCAAGACACAACTTTAGAAATCACTTAGGCACATCTCTCTGTTTCAGATTAACTTTGGTGAGGTTTCCAGGCCCCCCATACTCTCTGCCTCCATGACCTTGTGCCCTCTCCCCACTCACCTCTCCCTGGCCCGCTTCCCCAGCCTGCCAGGTCCTTCCCCGCTTTGTGCCCTCGCTTGGAACACTGTCCCTTGGAAAGTCTGCCTCTTCTCCTGCCCCAGCCCGCCAGCAGTGGCTACAGCCACTCTCTGTGCCTCCCTGGGGTCGTGCCAGGCTTGCTCCTTCCACATGGGAGGCCCCCAGGCCACCCAGGGGCCCACCTGCACTGCCTGAGTAATTCCCAAAGCAAGTGGCCTGGGGACAAAGCCCGAGGCTACCTGACCCACCCAGCTGGGACTAGTGCCCCATGTTTGTTTCCAGCTCAGTGGGTGTGTCAGAGACCAGGCCGTGCTCCAGAGGGAGCTTGCCTGGCTCCCTGGGGTCTTGAGCCAGAGCGGGGTGGGGCGGGGACAGCAGGGAGACCCCTGTGGGGGACTTGTGGCCAGGGGCCTCCATGGGCTCCTGGAGGGGAAGGGAGATGGCAGGGGAGCCAGGGCACTGTGGCAGGTGCGGGCCTGGTGTTGGGCACACAGCGCAGGCCCATCCTCAGTGTGCCCCAGGGTGAGAATCCCAGATAGTAAGTGAGGCTCACACATTCTGTGGCAGTTGACAAAGTAACTCCACCTCAGAGCCCATGAGGTGGGTACCATTATCATCTCTATTAGTATCAAGAATATTGGGGTTCACAGGTGGGAAGTAACTTGTCCTGGATCTCACACTATTAAGAGCACAGTGGAAGGCCCAGATGTGGCCCCTTTTGCTGGACTCTGAGATGGGGCCTTCTCCCAACGAGGCAGGGATGGGGGGAGGGAATCACACTGGCCCCAGGTCTCCCACCCCTCCCCCACCTCAGCTGTGATCCTGTCTGGTATTTCCAGCTGGGTTCAGGATGTGCATCTGCCCCCATCAGCCCCAGGTCTCTTCAGCCCTCACTCCTGGTGAATCAGGGCCAAGGAGGACTGGCTGTGATGGG